ACAGACACTCATGGCTTTTGTGATCTGCGACAGACACTCAAGGTTTTTGTGATCTGCAACAGACACTCAAGGTTTTTGTGATCTGCAACAGACACTCAAGGTTTTTGTGATCTGCAACAGACACTCAAGGATTTTGTGATCTGCAACAGACACTCAAGGTTTCTCGATCTAGTGATTTTACCAATTGTATAACATTGAGGTGAGGGCTTGTGCCAAAGTTGTGCAGTTTATCCATCTAGCAAATGAGATTTCACCTTTAAATGTTATTATAAGAATAATCATTATTTTTTGCAGCCCTTAATTCTTGTCACCTCCAACTATATTTTTCCCTCTAGTCCTATGTAACTCGAAGACGTGAATATACAAACATTACGATACTATTTTATTTTCTGTTTGACACACAACAACTTGGAAGAGGCCCATGGGAGAAATTTTGGAAAAGAGTAGGGGCAGTGAAGTAGCTAAAGTTTGTGACGCCAGAGGCGGCCCTTGATTTTGTCGTGCGTAACTAAACCAAAAACCTCAACAACTCAATGGTTGAAGAATACGATTAAAAATTAGATATATAAATATAAAGTATAAGAAGTGGACCGACAATGCATCCCCCATATAAATGCCTCCTAAGGTGGACCACATTTCCCCCTCACTCTACAGCCAATGGTGAAACCGTCAGATGACCTGCTCAATTGTTGACACCGATCCCATTAGTAAATCAACGTCTCTTGTCTGCTAATGAACTGTGTGCTAAGATTATCGATGCTACTCATTTGAAATTATGACATCATCTTTTTTTTTAAAACTGACTCTCATTCTCATCAGCCTAATCACTCTCATTCTCTTCAGTCTCGTCACTATCATTCTCATCAGCCTCGTCACTCACATTCTCATTAGCCCCATCATTCTCATCAGCCTCCTCATTCTCAATCTCATCAGCCTCGTCATTCTCATCAGCCTCCTCATTCTCATCAGCCTCCTCATTCTCATTCTCATCAGCCTCCTCATTCTCATTCTCATCAGCCTCCTCATTCTCATTCTCATCAGCCTCCTCATTCTCATCAGCCTTGTCATTCTCATCAGCCTCGTCATTCTCATCAGCCTTGTCATTCTCATCAGCCTCGTAATTCTCATCAGCCTCGTCACTCTCATTCTCATCAACTTCCTCATTCTCATCAGCCTCATCAATCTCATTCCCATGAGCCTCGTCATTCTCATCAGCCTCATCACTATCATTTTCATCAGCCTCCTCATTCTCATCAGCCTTATCACTCTCATTCTTATCATCCTCCTCATACTCATATCGGAGCAGTAAGAGTAGTCGCTCATCACTATCATTTTCATCAGCCTCCTCATTCTCATCAGCCTTATCACTCTCATTCTTATCATCCTCCTCATACTCATAAGCCTCGTCATTCTCATCAGCCTCGTCATTCTTATCAGCCTCGTCATTCTCATCAGCCTCGTCACTCTCATTCTCCTCAGCCTCGTCATTCTCATCAGCCTCATCATTCTCATAAGCCTTATCATTCTCATCAGCCTCGTCATTCCCATAAGCCTCGTCATTCTCATCAGCCTCATCACTCTCATTCTCATCAGCCTCCTCATTCTCATCAGCCTCGTCATTCTCATCAGCCTCGTCATTCTCATCAGCCTCGTTATTCTCATCAGCCTCGTCACTCTCATTCTCCTCAGCCTCGTCATTCTCATCAGCCTCATCATTCTCATACGCCTCATCATTCTCATCAGCCACTTCACTCTCATTCTCTACTGCCTCATCATTCTCATCAGCCTCGTCATTCTCATCAGCCTCGTCATACTCATTCTCATCAGCCTCATCATTCTCATTAGCCTCATCATTTGCATCAGCCTAATCATTCTCATCAGCCTCATCACTCTCATTCTCATCAGTCTCATCATTCTCATCAGCATCGTCACTCTCATTATAATCATCATTCTCATTCTCATCAGCCTCGTCACTCTCGTTCTCATCAGCCTCGTCATTCTCATCAGCCTTATCATTCTCATTCTCATCAGCCTCATCACTCTCGTTCTCATCAGCCTCGTCATTCTCATCAGCCTTATCATTCTCATTCTCATCAGCCTCATCACTCTCGTTCTCATCAGCCTCGTCATTCTCATCAGCCTTATCATTCTCATTCTCATCTGCCTCGTCACTCTCATTCTCATCAGCCTTGTCACTCTCATTCTCATCAGCCTCATCATTCTCATCAGCATCTTTATTCTCATCAGCCTCATCATTCTCATCGGCCTCATCACTTTCATTCTCATCAGTCTCGTCATTCTCATCAGCTTCGTCATTCTCATCAGCCTCGTCATTCTCATCAGCCTCATCAATATCATTCTCATCAGCCTCGTCATTCTCATAAGCCTCGTCATTCTCATCAGCCTCCTCATTCTCATCAGCCTCCTCATTCTCATTCTCATCAGCCTCCTCATTCTCATCAGCCTTGTCATTCTCATCAGCCTCATCATTCTCATCAGCCTTGTCATTCTCATCAGCCTCATCATTCTCATCAGCCTTGTCATTCTCATCAGCCTCATCATTCTCATCAGCCTCCTCATTCTCATCAGCCTCCTCATTCTCATCAGCCTCGTCATTCTCATTCTCATCAGCCTCCTCATTCTCATCAGCCTTGTCATTCTCATCAGCCTCGTCATTCTCATCAGCCTCGTAATTCTCATCAGCCTCGTCACTCTCATTCTCATCAGCTTCCTCATTCTCATCAGCCTCATCACTCTCATTCTCATGAGCCTCGTCATTCTCATCAGCCTCATCACTATCATTTTCATCAGCCTCCTCATTCTCATCAGCCTTATCACTCTCATTCTTATCATCCTCCTCATACTCATAAGCCTCGTCATTCTCATCAGCCTCGTCATTCTTATCAGCCTCGTCATTCTCATCAGCCTCGTCACTCTCATTCTCCTCAGCCTCGTCATTCTCATCAGCCTCATCAT